AATTTTTAATATTAAGGTATCAAATAAATAATATGAAATCTGCATTTGAAAAAGGCTAATATAAAGAGTACTTTTTTAAAATTACATTTATGTTTATTAAAAAGACACGTACAAAATTTAGTAAATGTAATACATAATTAAACCTTGATTCTTGAATTCCATTTTCTAAGTATATTTGAGTAGCAGCTCGATTTTCAGCCAACAGTTCAAAATTCAACAGCTGTAGCTGAACTATTCAACAAACAGACAAATGGAGTTATGTTTGCATCGAAGCCTGGAATCAAGCCATAAATAAAAGCATCCAGAAAATATTTGAAGTTTCAGAATTAATTCAACAAAAAATTGTTTCAATGACAAATTTTAAAAAAGTCTAATAAGAATTTTACAAAATCACTTTGAGGTGCACATATTCAACATCTAGTTAACGTATTTTCCAAATTTCATATTTCAGGCTTTCCATCTCTGCATTATGTGGCATACTTGCATATAGATTTTTCATTTTCTATTAATAGAACTAATGAAAACCTTTCTTGGACATCCTATATACTATGTGGTCTGTTGCTTGCTTAGGGGTTCAAACCGATTCTATATACTATTTCCACGCCCTTCATTTACACTGGTCATCAAAATTAAAGGATAATCACAAAAATAAAACGTAACTGATACTTATTGGTATTTATAAGTATTAACAGAAATTTGTATGACAGCGTTAGTTAACATAAATTACAATGTTTGGCAGTTGATTATTCGTAAAATATTGAAATTAAAACCAAATGCCATATATAGCGCTTCAATAACTTTTCCATAAAAATGTGATGCGAAGTAATTAATGTTCAATCAAACCTTTTTGTGACTGAGTTTTCCAAATTAAAATTCAATCAGCAGTGTCCAAATGACGTCTTTATTTGGACACTGCTGATTGAATTTTTATGAATTTGAATTTGTCAGAACATCAATAGAAAATATGTTTACAGATTATATACATGTAAATGATCTAATATCAAATTTTAATGGCAACTAAAATTAGCTACTAAAATTATAATAATCTACAGAAGCTATGGCTTAGAGCTCCTACAAAAATAAATATAGTACAACAGAGTTATAAAGGGCCCCACATCTCAAATAGCTTAGGGTCTTATCAAGTTTAAATACAGCTCTGATGGTATCATGTATACCAAAGTATATTTGAAATATACTTTGGTATACATGATATATAAATTTTGATAGCCGAATTAATTATGATTATTATTTAGATGGTCTGATTGCATTCAAGATATATGCAAGGAAAAGCACCAAGAATCAGCGTAAAAGTCATCAATTTGCAGAATTAATTTCGAAGGTTTAAATATATAATACTCCTTTAGCCGCAGAAGGGCAAATGAAGAAAGAGAAGCCAGTGGTAAGATAAGTGTCATTTGCACTTCTGCAGCTGAAGAAGCAGGTTCTATTTTTAAACTTTCGAAATTAATCCTGAAAATTTATGAATACTACTCTGATTCTTGTTGCTTTAAGTGCTTCAATAATCGCTATTCGGCGTATTATTTAAATTCAAATTTATATATTAAATAAAGGAAATATAATATTTAAATTAGTTCATATTAATTTTCATATTAGTTTTATAGCGTGTTATGAAACACAACTTTGCACAAAAGCGCTAAATGAAATTAAAATTTAAGTTTTTACATAGTGTTGTATCGTTCAGTTACCAAAGCACATTGATAGTTAAATATAACGCTTTGTTTTGCAAATGCGGTTTTATCACAATGGCCAAACATCTCGGTCTAACATGGATGAATAAAGCGTTTCTTTATTATGTAAAACTAGCAGTGGCATGGCTTCTAGGGATTAGAGGGATCAGTCTGGTGTCTGACATTTTAAGCATTATCGCATTAATTTTCGCTTAACATTAAAAAGCATTAAAAGGAAGATCGTTATATTTGTTTTAATAACTCGTGCTGGTCCAATATAATCAGATTTTTGTTCGAATCAACCGCCTTTCGTTGTTTGCCTAAAGAAGGAAAACTAGGAGTTCATTAAGGTTAGGGAACTTTCACCAGTTCCCTAACCTTGCTGTTATCTACTAGCAGTATGTTGTATTAAAATGTTTACATGAATTTTATTGAAATTTATTTAATTTTTAATGCGACAGTTTAGATCGTGTTCGTAAAAGCATTCGTGCAATATATTGAAGAATTCGAAACATAATGTTTTGAGACAATAATCCCGAGTTTACATTTTGAAGACAGAAATGATAAAAAGAACTGAATTCCATGCAGTGATCATTGTGAAGCATGCACACATACTGTGAAGCCATTTTTATCAAAAGCCGCTGATCTTATCAGCATCACAAATCCATGATCTCGATTTCTACGTACCGCATCTTTTGTAGTATTTTGTATATTCGTATATTATATTTAAAAAGAAATAAACACAGAAGTTAAAAGTACTGTGGGTAATTCATAATGCTACGGACTCCTGGGGGTAATTTATGATGCTACGGCAAAATTGTAAGTAGGACCGAATTTAGACTTGATGAGGCTCTAAGCCATTTGAAATATGGGGCCCTTGATAAGTCTATTATACTATACAAGTCCGCGAAACACACGTGGTTCTCGAAGTGTGCCCTTACAATGCTCTAAACTTCCGGAAGAGAAAATAAAATAAAATTCAGATTAACAGTAAAGCTGAAAATCTCCGATTTCAGAAATTACACACGGGAATCGTCTAACATTTTTTTTCTCCCAATATTGACATTTTATGAAATTTGTGGGTTGCTCTACTTATGGACTTCTCATTTTAGTCTTAGCAACAAAAGGAAGGATTTAAAGCCCTACGATTATGGTGCTTCTTACCAGCATACATCGAAACATAAAACAGCTATACAATGAATCGACAGGTTCCTTTATCTCATCAATGAGAGAATCAACATCTATTTAATGTCCAGACTTTAATTGGCTTGAATTATTAAACACGGATGTAAATTTGCTTTTGTGAACTTAATTACTTAAAGTCAATATAAAATAAAAGGTATTTTAATTAATCTTATTTAAAAAATATAAGTGTTCAATTAATAACATATGCTTTAAAAATTTCTTCCGAAAGGTGCAAAAGTAAAGAGGTGCACAGAATATTCTGATTTATAATAGCGATCCTGTTCCCTCTTGAAAAATATTCGAGAATCGCTGATTGATACAAGGAGGTTAGAATAGAAGGAGGGAGGGTTCGCAGTTTCCTCCACTATCAGGGAATGAAACTCCACGGAACAAGCAGCGTCCATGTTTGTTACTTCAAAACATTGCAATACGGTAGTGAAACGTACGTGTTTTAAGCTGTTCTATGCATGCATTTTCCAGTAAAAATGTGTTAAATTTACAATGAAATGCTTCGCTATTGTTAGTTTTTTGTTTTAAAGTTATAAAGATGATATCTGTAATTTACTAAGTACAGAAAATCATTAAGAAATATTTCGAAATCTAAATGCATGTGCATAACATTAAAGCCTTTAAAAATTATGATTCTGCATAATTTCGAGAATTTGCTTAGGTTTTATTAGCAACTTCTCGGGTGTTATACTTTCCAATTGTTTCTTTAAGAAGTGATATTTCTGATTTATTCGCAATATTATTATAATTTATTAAAGTACCATTTTTACCTGAAATTAATAACAGATGATTATTTAAAAAAATGGTAACATGTTGCTTTTTTTTTAAAATGAAAGTTTTAAATGGACTCTTTTCACAACCAATATCAACTTATATCAACAAAAAAATAAATATTAATAAATAAAAACAGATTTATGTGAATTCAATGATTTCAGTTTTATACGTTGTTTCATATTTATGAATCTCAAAGAAATTACCTTGAATTAAGCTTGAATTACACAAATATACCTATATGAAATTTTTGGATACGTTTTCCACTGGTTCCACATTTATGTTCACACATTGTATGTAAATATTTTACTTACATTTATCGCTATACTGCCCAGAAATTTGTAAGCTTATGCAAAAACATTTTAACAACAGAACAGTTTATCTTGATCAAATGCACAAATTATATCCGTAACAGTTCACAAAACTTAAGAATGAATAGTAATTAATACATAAAGAAAAGCGTTGCTTTATTTAACACCTTCACAATTCATAAAAATAGTAACAATTGATTTCGTACTTTTCATGAAAATTATAAAACGAATTATTTAAGCGTTCAAATTATACAGTTTAAATCCTAGCATATATCATTGTATGTTAAGGAACAAATATACCAGCTGTAAGCAAAAACATTAAAATGTATTTAACATGTTTCGTTTATTCTTAAGTCATTTTTGTCACATCTTGAAAGAAAACAACATGACATTGTGATATTTTTTAACATACTTATAAAATTACATAAAAAAAAGAAAATCAATACCTACTAGTGAACAGTAATCCCAGAAATATTTTTCGAAAATCTATTTGTGCATCCATATGCAATATAAGCTGACAAGCTTCAAAAAGAAAAGGAAAAAAAATGTTACAATTACAGACTTCCTTGCGTAAGTCACAGCGATAACAGTAACATGGCCGTCAAGCTTCACCGTTTAAGTTGAACCTTCCCTCCTTCTATTCTAACCTCCTTGGATTGATATAAGGAGGTTAGAATAGACCCAAGGAAAAACCTCTTTGAGGCTATAGGTATAAAGACAGCAATCCCTTTAAATACAGGAAAAATATTCCTTACTAGAATATCATGCTGTTCTGCTAAGCCAAAAACAAACAGACTGTTTTCTTCAGGCAATTTTCTTTTTGTCAATTTCTGTAGTAATTAAAATTAATAAGAAAATACCTGCTGTTAATTTAAATAAAATGTCCTTTTGTGTCAGAGGAATGTTTTAAGATACTTTGGTATTGGTTCATCTTTTGAGTTTGAGAATCTGGAAACAGCATCGGTAATTGATCGATCGTCTTACCTGTCCTTTTAAACTGAAGTGAATAAGGCATGTTTGTGTGTCAGTTTTTCGCTTCGCGCATTGCTAGTAGTATGCGGTGAAGAGTAATGTAATCGGAAACAACTATTTTCTTGGCATTGTAGATTATTTAAGATCCGGAGGTTTGAGAGCCACTGTGATTTTGTTTCTCCTTTCGTTTAAAAGCCGTAAATGCATTTAAAAGCTCTCATTGGATGTAAACTGTACCCACAAAATATTTCACATGATGATAAAAATGTGAGATCGAAATTTTTCGATATTTTGGAAAAGACCTAATTGAATTTATTCAGTAATATGCAAATTAAAATTTCAGCTATTTTTTTTTTTTTTACAGTAAAGGCTGTATTCTCAGTTGTAAATAACTGCAGTGAAAATGAGGCATAGTCTACGATCATTGAATGTTTTGAGTTGATTAAGAAAAATTGAGGTGATGTATGTTTTGCATAATTTTTGAATTGAGTTTGATCTTCATTGATGATGGAACCGGTAGTTGAAAGAGAATTCAGTGCCTTGGGTGGTCTCTTTCAGCACATCATATCAGACCTGAAAGTAAGTATTGCGTTTTAGTATTTTTATTAATAGTGTAGCTGAAATTGATTGCAGTATTATTGGAGTTACAGTGAAATTTCTGTTGGTTTTTCCGCGATTCTTAGCCTATATGGAACTATTTTGTAAAAGCATAGCAATTATTTTTTGAAGTATAAGCTATATAAATGGCCATTGAAATAAGGAAATTACTATTTCAACTCGAGTTTTCTTGACATTTAGGAATATTAAATTGTTTCATAATGTTAATGTAGATTTTATTGCTCCAGAGTGTTAATACAAGAGTACTGCTTCATTGAAAATTAATAATCAGTAAATTAAGGCTGACAGTTTGGTTTAAATATATATTTGCTACTTTATTAATCTTCACAAGCCCCAAATCTTTGAATTTTGTAATGTCTGCGATGGAAGTGTTTTGACCACTGACTGACTTTTATGGTCTTTAAGCTAGACTACTTATTCTTCTGTTATCAGGACTGGATTTAGAAATGTATGCATGTATGGATGGATGTGTTCATGTATGCATGTATATATGTGCATACGTACATATGTGTGTGTATACAAACACACACACATATATATATATATACACATGTGTATTCATACATACATACATTTCTAAATTCAGTCCCATGACAGAAGGGTACTGTAAACTGTTGAGAAACAGTAAAAACTATCATAAGATAATCGGGTAAGGAAAAGATTGGTTGATCTTTACATTATGGTAACTTGGCGATTTTTTGGCGAAAGTTTGGCAACCAACTCTCCTACAGCAACCCTCTATTTTTTTTCCCGCCGCCATTTTGCTTCACGAAGTAAAGACATGTTTCTTTTCTTTTTATCTGCTGAACACTTCTTCCAACAATCTACGAGCCGAATTACACTTATGCTAGAAATTTTATCAACAAAACTGCTTAATCATGACAAATATTCACTGCAAAATTGGGAAAAAGTGCACAATACCATACTCCTTACGCGTTTTTTCAAAATAACACATACACATAAACCATGTACACGCCGACTTATTTTTACTTAAAAAAACATCTCAGAATTGCACACGAAAATGGGCATTGCGCACACTCTTCACTATATCCATGTACACTGCTTTTTCTCATAAATTAGAAAAATTTCACGAAACACATGACAATTTTCTCAATCTTTAAACCCGGTAAAAAGAACATATATAAAATTACCTGATCGCGAAAAAATATTTCCCTTTCCAAATGAACATTTTCCACATATAAAATAAATAAAATATCCAAAAACTTTTACCTCTAAATCATCTATTACATTATACACGTCACCAACGAATTCATACCGCAAGCATTACAAATACTTAGTATCAAATATTTAAATTATTTCCATGCACGTTTACTTCAACTTAAACGTATACCACATTCCTACAAACATAAAATTCACAAAATAACTATCATTTAATTAAAATATCACTAAACCATGTACACACGTTGACTTATTTTTTACTTAAAAAAACATCCCAGAATTGCACAAAAATGGCATTGCGCACACTCTTCACTATATCCATGTACACTGCTTTTTTCTCATAAATTAGAAAATTTCACGAAAATACATGACAATTTTCTCAATCTTTAAACCCGGTAAAAAGCACATATATGAAATTACCTGATCGCGAAAAAGTATATACCATCTCCACGTATAAAATAAATAAAATATCCAAAAACTTTTACCTCTAAATTATCTATTATATTATAAACGTCACCAACGAATTCATAACCGCTAACATTACAAATGGTTACAAATACTTAGTGTCAAATATTTAAATTATTTCCATGCACGTTTACTTTCAACTGAAACGTATACCAAATTCCTACAAAACAAAATTCACAAATAACTATCATTTAATTAAAATATAATTAAATTCAAAAACACTACTTAAAATATAAATAAGCACATACATTAAATTAATAAAAATTACCTTACAATCCTAATTACTTTAAACTAAATCATTGCTAATAACAATTTTCCCAATAATACCAAATTCCTTTCCACCTTACATTTAGAACAATGCATAAAAAATAATATCCTCAAATAATTAAAAATACTAACTTAACTTACTAATCTTCTTCAGAATCTTGATTACGTGGTCCGATAAACTTTTCTCTTTCTGTTTCAGGATCTTTAAAATCATACTTATATTTCACAGCAAGGTACCAGGTAAAATAAATAACTTAATAAAACATCTTTATTTCTATCTCGCACAACCTTAAACAAACATTTATTACTACCCTTTTCAATACCACTAAATACCCATTTTGAATTCACTTTAGTTACGGCCATGGGATCCAAAAATTAACCAACACTGTTTCACAACACAGAATAAAGCCAAATACAAAATTTCCAGATTTTTTCCCGATTTCCCCCCTTTTCCGATTAAAGAACCGTAATTCGTCCATTAATATCACACGACATATCCCATGATCTCTCATTTCCCTCACACAAAATAATGCGTAATCGGAACTGAGTACTGCTCACATTATTACCAAAGTCCCAGGTAGTAACCTTTATCGCCTCCAAAATGTCGCCAAACTACCAGTTACCATATTGTAAAGATCAACTGAAAGATTAATTTCCAGAATAATATGTTGATTGTAATGCTTAATGTCATGCTTTTATGATATTTTAGCTAAAATTAACTTACATATGCTTAATATTATGCAGTGCATTAAATATCATGTTCAAAATACTAAATTTTACTTGTATATGTTTATATCATGTTTTGTTTCAAAACTTAACCTCATATCGCTAAAACCATTACCGTGGGCAAGCTTTCTGACAAAAAAAGGCAGTGTCGCCAACAGGTTCTCTGCAGAAGTGCTAATGGGTTCTTTGCAGAAGACCCAAGAAACTGTTTATGTATCCTAAAAAGCTCAAATTAGAAATTAAAAAATTACATTTATTTCCAAGTCATTCTCACAACTGCACATTATAAGACATGATTTTTGCAATTTATTGTAATTATTAAATTTTTTCTGAACATTTATTACAAGGTCCTGATCTTGAGCAGAATGCATATCTCCTCTATTTTCTTACAAGTTCTTTTGCTTCTGAGTGCTTTTTCTTATTCTTTTCAACTAAATTCTGCAGTGTGAATTGAAGGTTATTTTCAGTTTTTGAAGCACATTATTTCATTGTAGGTTTTACCAATTTATTTGAAGTCTTCTTTCCAGAAATTGTGTTCATTTTTCAAAGGCATTGAAACAACATTTGCGTTAATGTTCTTCTTAAAATGTATTATGAATGCAGGGCCAATGGCAAAGCCAATGCAGCTGGTACAGCAAAAAATTTTAGGATCTAGAGAAACAACCAGCAACAAAATTTAGGGATGGTGAAACTTGTAGAATTTAGAAGAGACACTTGGCAACAGAATTTAAGGGCATCAAAAAGTCTATAATTTAGGAAGACACTAAGCTGCAGAATTTAAGACTCGCAGAAACTGTATGTGGCAGCAAATCGCCTAATGCTATCCCTGTATAAATGGCAGTCTGTATAAAATTATAAAACTAATTCAGTAGTCACTTAGCTGACAAAAATCCACCTCCTCAAGGCTGCATGACAGTTTGTCAGCATTAAATCTGCAATTGCACACAAAATAGAAACAGAAATGTTTTTTTTTGGGGGGGGGGAAGATACTGCTGCATAAATTCAGCCTTATAAGAATCTTAGTGATGTTGTGCTACCCATGTTGTCTTTTATTTTGCCATTTGCCCAAACCCCACAATCTGCCAGTGTTTTGTATATATACTCAGGTATCCAGATCTGCAAAATTATATCCATGATTAACTTTGAAAAATTAGAAAATAGCAGCTTTAATTTCGTCACTTTTATAAGCTTACCCAGATCTGAGTATGTTGTAGAACATTTTCAATACTATTTTTTATCACTTGCATAAGCATTATCCCTTTCCTATATGGAACTTTTACTATAAAACTCTCTTTCATTTCCTTTCAAATACCTCCAAACAACCATTTTTCAGGAGTTATTCTCCATGTATGGTTTTTATGTATTGAGGAAAGATGAACAGTGAGCTTTGCCTTTCTATTTTTTTTTTTTTTCTTTTTTTTTCCCCTTCTTAAAAGACTGTGTGTACAAACTTTTCTTAAATAATTATTCCAATTCATAACAGTCTCATCACTCAATTCTTTTTCCCGTTGAATACTAGTTAATTCTATGTGCCTGCTGTAATGAATCTTGGCACAGCCACAAATAAAATGTTTGAACTCTTAAACTATGTTTCTTTCTGAACGTGTTAATATTGCTATGCCATTGAGTCAGTGTTTTAAAATAAAGTGCCATATTGTGGCAATTTACACATTTTTTGGATGATGGTAAGATTCCGTACCTTTTGAAAGAATTCTACGGCTTCATGTTCTGTAATTGGTAAATCCAAAATTTTAAACATTTTTTACAAAGCAGCGTAAAAATATGTTTACAGCTGCCCCTTGGGCAAAATTGTCGACTTTTGGCAGTACATGGGCACCGAGTTTGTGCAATTCTTTAACTTGTTATTTTGGCTTTGTGTAGCAGCGATTTTTGTGCCAAAAATCGCCACTACACAGAGCCAAAATTACAAGTCAAAGAATTGCATAAACTCGGTATCGATGTACATTTAAAAATCGAAGGAGCACCTAATTCTACACTAGAGCCAAACAAAAAATATATAATATCAATAAACTGCATTTTAACTCAAACAATGAAATAACATAAAAAAGCACTATGTACTATTATTATCACATCTACACACTACACAAAGGAAATATCCACTTATCTTATTTAGACATTTTTGTGTCTTTGGCCTGTGGCACACAAAATTCTTTAACAGCATTCAAAAACTTTTCTCAAACCATGTTCCATTTCTAATGGCATGCTTTATGTGGTAACCATTTGAACCTTTCTTGTGACAAATCCATTCAAAGCCATCTGAACGAACATTTGACCATACGCATTTCCTTCATACTAACAGGACATTTATAATTCTGTTGAATTAATCCAACAAAGTTTCTTTTCTTCTGTCTACTTCAATCGGGGGGGGGGGGGGGGAGGGAACTTCTGCTCTCTCGTTCTGTACCACCAAACATCCACACATAACCACTGGCAGTCAATTAACTATGCAAAGCATACAATACGTTAAGTACTTCCTAACTGACATCCAACAAATATTTTCCCATCAGTCAAATTCACCGCAATCATACAATCAATTGCATCATAATAGGGTTTTTATAACATTCTTCAACTGCTCAGGTTACTATAAATGAAACAACAGCTTAGCGATAATCCAAGGGGCATCCTGAAATATAGGGTAACCGAAAGCAGACCTATAGCGAGATTTAAAACAGCGACAGTTAGAAACAACGACACAAGAACTAGGAAGAAACTCTTATATCATTGTTGGCTAAAACTGAATCATGTATGGTAATTTTTGTCATGATTGGCTAAAAATTTACCTCTTGGCACTATTGCCTTCATTTGGCAAAAATGTCCAATTGAATCTTCCATAAGTACTAAATTTTAGGATTGATCCTTCTGCCACATTGATTTTGCCTACCTTCGATGATAAAATTAACTTCTCTATTAACAAGAACAATGAATGTACACCTTGCAAAAAAAATGGGACAGCTCTGAATCTCCCGTTCTACTGGACTGATTGCTGAAATTTAACTTGCGTTTTCCACATCTTGAAAGTGTGACTTAGGATATACATTACATTTATATATGGCATTGTTCTAACATAGGGATTTTGATACAAAATGGGACATTTTCTGAAATAACATACCAATGTTTTTCCATATTTCGATTCTTCGACTCAAATTATGTCTAGATGTTAAATTTTGTAATTTTTGGTGAGCAATTTAAAAATTTATCTTGTGCATTTTTTTCAGTTTGCACCAAGAATAATTCACTTGTTGAACTTCTTAATTTATAGCAACCTATATTCCTTTCCTTTTTTTTCATTGTACACAAGTAGAAAAAAGCTCATCACTCATACTTTCAAATAATTTTAACAAAGTGCATAAACCGCATTTGATGTTATTATCCATTATAACAAATATGCCAAATTTCAAAATGGGCTGATATGTAAATTCACATATATCTTAGGAAATTTTGAATAAAAAACTAAAACTTTTTGCAGTTATGCTTAGAAATGCATCTACTTTAAGATGATTGTGAAAATTTTATAATTCAAAATGTTTTCCGAAAAATTTATAAAAATTATTTTAAAATACAAATTTTTAAAATAAATCATAAAAAATGGGGTGAATTTCATTTGGAATGAACCTAAATTTTGAAATGTGAAAGGAAGAATCAAATAAGGTTAATAAAAAAAGATATATTAGTAAATATATACCAAACTCAATTTACATGGAGGATCTAAAATTTTAAGAGCTAATTTTTTAAAAACTGCTCTCAGTTTTTACAAAACTTGGCACTCTGGCATAATTTGAGTTGTAGAATCGAAGTATGGAAAAAACTTGGGATGTTATTTCAGACAAAGTCCGATTTTGTGTCAAAATACATATGTTAGAACAATAATATATATATAAATCTAATATACATCCCAAGCCGCACTTTCGAGACATGGAAAATGCAAGTTAAATTTCAACAATCAATCCAGTAGAACGGGAGATATAGAACTGTACTTTTTTTTTTTTTTTTTGGCAAGGTGTACAATGAAAAATATCTGATAAATTTCTTCTGAAATACTTTTCACAGCAAGATATTTTGATCTGTTATATGGTAATTTATGAGCGTCAAGATTCAGACCGGTTTTATATTGCATGCACTCAACTTATTTCAATAAGTGTAATCAAAGTAGGTGATATTTTGTAAAATTTTAAACAATTATTGTGAACTTACTGATATGCATGGGTAATCTGAAAATAGGCCTCTGAAAGAGTATTTAATACTTAGGTACTGTAACAAAGTGCTGTTGAAAAGTTTTAAATGAATGATATGCAGTATACTGTTGAAAGAGAGTTTAATTCAGATATTAAAAAAATTACCTGTATTTTTCAGTTTTTTTTCCCCTTAACCCCTGAAGAAAAGTCTCATTTTCTTGATAATTGTTGTCTTGACAACGTGTCAAATACAGTCAGAGATAAACAAGACCTGCACGGCTTTAGGTTGAGTGGATTGTAGAGTTTTTAGGTCAAGAAAAAAAATTTAGACTTAAAAAAATTAGATTTAAACTTCAAAAAAGAAGAAAAAATTAAAATAAATTTAGAAAACAGTATACTCCACTGTGATTGATATTTTATAGATAAATATATTTTAGATATACAAGGGGTGATCAAATGAAAAGGTACGAAACGAACACGGTGGGTACAAATGTACACTTTATTCAAAATATACACCATAGGCCTGAAGCACAATGATCTCCCCTGATGAACAAGCTGCAGGATTTCTTGTTCCCAGAATTCCTGTGGCTGTGATGAGACCCAGTACCTTCACAGCGTCCTTGAGTACGTCGACGGAGTTGAAGCGCTTCTCCTTTCAAGGTGTTTCATTCAGTGGATCCAAACACATAGGAAATCGCAGAGCGACATGTCCGGACTGTAGGACGGATGGTCCAATGTCTCCCACTTGAACTTGGCCAGTTTCATGTATGTGACTCTGGAGACGTGTGGACGCGCATTATCATGGAGCAGAACCACACCCTCTGTGAGCAGCCCCAGTCTTTTGTTCTTGATGGATCTGCGTAGGCGTCAGAGTGTCTCACAGTACACATCGGAGTTAATGGTTTTTCTGTGCTCGAGGAATTCCACAAGTAAAAAGTAAAGTAAAAAAATTCCAAGTAAAAAAATTAAAAAAGTAAAACAAGTAAAAAAATTCCGACACGCTTAAGCGTTTGGCCCTGAGACTTATAGATGCTCATAGCAAAGACAAGTTTTACAGGAAATTGTCTGCGTCTCAATTGAAACAGCAACCCTGTGCATTGGCAACTTTACCCCATTGGCTAGTACAGTTACACAAGCAACCAATAAACTATCGGCGACAAACAGACACTTAAGCAACATATATATAGGGGATGAAGTAACATCATCTCCTCCGAAACGGCTGGCTCCCGGAAACTTAGCGAATTCTGCACACCGAAACGGCTGGATTCCGCAGGTCCGTGGCACGCCATTTTGACCATTCGCGTCTTCTTGGGACTTTTAATTAGCCGAGATATTAATTAAAAACTAATTCCCCCCTTCGTTTTCCCTACATTTTCCACTTACTTTCTTGGGTTTTCCCTATTAAAGGGATTTGGCTACATGCGAAATTCTTTTTTCTCGAATATCTACGGAAGTTGAAATTCGAGACGCGTATCCTCGGATTCTAAAAAATTCTCCAAATCCATCGATACCGTTCTCATCTTCGTACGACTTTAATTGGTTGAGATATTAATTAAAAACCGCAGAAACGTTTATTTTCGTGCTCATTTTTCCGAGTGGCAACAATAAACTATCGGTGACACACACTTTAGCCGCTTATATATATAAAGATTTAAAATATTGCTTATTATTAAGTTTGAAAAAGTCATTTTCGTAACAACATTATAAATATTTGTTTGATTTAGGCTTCAAAATGTCAGGGAGGGAAAAAAGTTTGATTTAGGCTACAAAATGTCAGGGGGGTTGATTTGAGAAACCCTCAAGACCTTGGAGAAATTCATCGTTTGTCAGATGAAGGCATCAGATGAAGACTATGAGGATGTCAAAGATGAAGACTTTGATGTGAAAAGCTATATTGATTCAGAAGATGGTGTTGTGGAATGTGAAGATGGATAGAGACAGAACAAGAAGGAAACGAAAAAGACAACATTGAAGAAAATACTGACATTTATTTGAGACAAAGCCAGACCACAACACTTAAGTAATTTTGGCTTCAGTTGTGATGGTAATATCTTGGTGTCCTACTTTCCAAGAAAAAAGCAGAAATGCCGTTTTTGTATCATCATTGCATGATGACCAAGCTATTCATCTTTCTACTGTAAAAACCAGAAACCGTAGATATTGTAGATAAAATGTGTGTTTTGTATAATGTGTCTCGGAATGTAAAACGGTGACACATGATAATCTTTTTTACAGTGTTAAAGATTGCTTCAATCCATTCTCATCTCATACTTGTAATTAATGGGTACACAGCTCTTAAAAGAAGGTTCTTCATAAAACAGCTGTCTAATGAACTTGTGCTTGGACAACTTGCTCAATGAAGTCTAAACTCTATTAGAATGCCAGTACATTTAGAACAAAAATTAAAGAGATACACTCCCAGCCAAGTACAGCAACCTCAAATTTATGATGAGCCACAGATACCTCTAAAAAGAGGCAAAAGTGAAACATGCTATTTAGAGACTCATCAGAGAAGATTAAGCTAATATGAGTGCAAAACGTTTCACACAGCAACCTGCTTCTCATATGCTGTTTTCATGGGTTCTCCATGCTATAAGAGAGAAGTAGGACAGATATCTCCTTATGAATCAGATGAATGAGAGACTATGCCTATGTTCTAGTTTTAATTAAATTTTAATCCGTAATTAGTCTTGTACAACAACTTTACAAAAGTTCTTTACAATTTTTGTTTAATATAAATAACTATTTTAAGACTATAAAAATTGTTTTATTGTCCATTAAGTATTTTTATAACTTGTGAAAGTTTAATAATAATGCATAGCATTTGATTTTTTGTACAAAAAAACTTTTTATGTATAAAAAAGTTCAGTAAATCAAGAACTGCCTCTCAGGCTCAATGCGCCCGAACGTGTTCCGAAACATATTGCACCTGACAGAGTGTTAAAAGAACTGAAATGTATTTATTATATTACATGAAATGTATACAAGAAATATTAGTTCTTTTGAAATCTTGCTTTTTAAAAATTATTGAAAAGGAATAACAAATTTATATATATATATATTTTCAGAACAGTGCTCCAGTGTGGGAGGATTTCTTATTGAAAGCTAGTAAATTTCATGCACAGCTCAGGTTAGTTAATTTTTGTAGTTTTTATATATAATTAATTTTTATTTTATTATTGTACATTTATTTTATTATTGTTGATTAAGTTATTGTCCACAGCAGATTGTTTTTCTGTTTTTATTTTAAATTTTGTAATTATTTAATTTAAAAAATTTACCATTCTGTTATTGGGACTGGATTAAATGTATAAATGTGTGCACATATGTATGTATATATGTACACACATATACATTTGTACTTGCATGTATACATGAACAAATACATCCATCCATCCATACATACATATATGTCCTTATAACATAACAGTACCAAAAACTTAACTGCTTGGTTAATAAAATACATAGGTTAATACAATCAACAGTTAATATAATAGTTTTTCAGATTAATATTTTCCAGCCTGATGTGTTATGAAGCCCAGCAATGTATGCTGCAACATTTTTCAATATAAAAATACATTTTATGAAATTCAAAGAGTCTATATTGGGGAGAAAAACATTTCATGTTTACTGCATATTTTAAGCCATTATTGCAGAGATCATTTTTTTTTTTTTTATGTAGCCTACCAAGGAGCAAATTGCTAAATTTCAAAACACTGATAGTTTGTCCTGGATTTGGATTTTAGCAGTCACATACACTGCAGAATTGAGTTTTTTGCACTCCTTCCCCAGTAACTTAAAATGAAACAGTTTGTATTAAAAAGACTTTTCTTATTTTTATAATTAATGAGTCTATTTAGCTACAGGTCAACAAACTATCAATCTTCCCTATGGGGATAAGGGAGACTTCTCCAGCTCCTATTTTAATTGACTGCTCAACAAAATTTAATTTCGTTTTCCATGCCATGGAAATGCAACTTAGATTATGTATTAAATTTATATTAGGTTTTAATGAAAGTTTCCTGCAACCGCAAATTTTGTTTCTACAAACAGTTTGCCTTGTCGTATTTAATCATATTTTGCCAAATGATTTTTGGCATTTGAAAGAAAGAGACTTGCTTTAAAACACTGTGTTGTGAAATTTGTAAAAAAATATCTTTATTATTAAGCAGAAGGTGTCTGAAATGGAGTTATCACACTGCCAGATTAGAACTATCATTTATTTCCAGTTCTGTTGCGAAAAGTCAGCTACAGAATGTCACCAAATCATGTGTATAGCTTTACGTACAAATTTTGTATCATATAACACTGTGAAGGTGTGGTACCGAAAGTTAAAAAACGAGGACTGTGACATTCAAGAAGGAGAGTGCTCTGGCCAGCCTACCTGCGAGAACTTGTGGTAGAAGATCAATATGCAACCACTCAAGAGCTTGTTAAGGAGTTAGACATTAGTGCCATGTCCATTAGTCGTGCTATGCATCACATAAACTTGATGTTCAAGTTCAATCGCTGGGTGCCGTATGAGCTGACTCAAGCAGATAAGGACAGATGTATTCCGGCCTCCACTAATCTGCTGGAATATCAATGCAGGGGTAGAATTCTGGACTGTATCGTTAATTGTGATGAAGAGTTGATTTACTTCAACAATACAGGCTGAAAAGGAGGTTGTCCTGCACCCGGTGAGCCTGTCGCAGCATCGCAAAGAGTAATTTGACTAACAAAAAAATCATGCTTTGTATCTGATGGGATTGCCATGATATTATGCACAAAGAGTATCTGGAAAAAGGTAAAATCCTCGATAATAAGGTATACAGCGAGATGCTAATCTGTGTAGATGCTGTTATCAACGAAAAATGTCGAACTGAGTTCTGGCGTGAAAGTTAATGTTCCATCAAGATAATACAAGACCACATGTGTCTGCATTCACCGGTTGGACTCTATGCGGACTCGAATGGGGTGTTTTTCCACACTCACTGCTATAACCCCGATATCGCTCCTTCAGACTTCTACCTTTTTTCGTACCTGCAGCTATGTCTTGCTGGTGCTATCTGCCATTCTGCAGAGGATGTCTGAAAAAAGGTTGATCTGTTTTTGGACTCATGGCCACCAAGTTTCTGGGCCGAAGGCTTTGAAAAACTACCAAAACATTGGCAGAAAATCATAGATTTGGATAGTGATTACTACTCCCACTTAACCCTTTCGCCGTCCTCTCCTGTCCGCGAAAATTTACCCCCAGCGGCCATCTGTTTCTCTTAGCATGCAATGTTGTTTTCTCTGTATATCATAACTTTCCTTACATGACTTTCGTAGTGCATGAATGCCAATGAATATTAAGTAAAATTATAAGGAAATAAAGCATAATGGAAAAAGATAATATCTCTGCTTATTTCTAACAGCAGGATAATTTGATAACATCTGATCCAGGCAGTCCACTCCTCCCATTTTGTTGTTGTAATCTTTTACAATTATTGGTTTTTTTACAGTTCTTTTCCATGTTCCAACATCAATCATCGAGTTATTATGGACTGTACTCATCAAACGTATATTCTTCTTGTCTTTCCAATTCACAGTTTTTTATGAAGTGTATAGTAGTTTAGAATAGTAGTTTTTTATGAAGTGAATAAATAATATATATCATTTGTATTTTTCAGGTCCACTATCCTAGCCTCTACTTCATTTTTAGATTCCTTCCAAAAAATTGCTGATATGGCTACTAGTACTAGAGGTTAGTTTGTATGATTTTATTTTTATTTATTTTTTTGTGAAAGGAATTTAATATTTTTGCCTGAAATGTAAGTTTTGAGATTTAAACAATAGTGAGAGAGTTGTACTATGTAAAACATGAAGTTGTGCAAAAAATAATCTTAGATTGGCATAGATTTTGTATATGAATATAATTTTTGAGGACACCTGACTTCGATCTTTCTTTTTTAAAAGCAAAAAAAAGTTTTTCTAACTAAAATTGCAAAAATTGGTTGTGAAATAAATGTTTTTGTGTGTGCACAAATTTTAGTGCTTTATGTTACAATGGCCACTGTGAAAAATAATGTTGTCTCTGTGTTTAATTCAAGTTGATTATCAACTGAAAATCTGCTTTGCTTAGCACCTTATGCATGCAACATGACTATTCCAGTTAACCAGTTGTTTCATGCATTTTAATTGCATCTTACACCAGTTAACATATGAGAGTTCTTCTGAAAAGTAAATAAATTACAATGCTGTTAGAAATAGTGTTTAGAAACTGTAGAACCAATTTCTAGCATAAATGCTTTTCTTCTTTCCAAGACTTTTAATACTGCATTTATGAATATTTTTATCATTGATATATAGTTACATTTCATGAACATTTTTTCATATGCTTTTACAAGGTAAAATTCCTTTTTCTTGAAAGAGTGTTATGTATGGCTGGGCATCATCTTGAGTTATACCTCAGCCACATATTTTAAAAATATATGTTCTTATTTAAAAAAAGAATTATTGCTCCTTAGTAAAAAAAGAGGGGTTAAAGTTATAAAAAAATGTGTAAAATAAATAGATTTTATTTTAAAAATCAGGGATGAAAAATGTTATATGAAAGGCATGTCCATGGCAGATAGATAGCTCTAGTATGTTTGCATAATTAGTTAATATAACTTGACAAAACAAAATGGCTAAAAATTGAGAGTAGAACTTAGCAAAAAATTAGTTTAATTTATATACCATATGAATGACGGATTACATTTTTAGTAATCTGCTTTAAAATTTTATATGTTTTTTTTTTTTAATCCATTGGTGAGTACTTGCCATATTTCAGCATTGATCACTCCTTAGACCAGAAATGGTGACCATTTTATAATGGAAGTGCCTGTTAGGTGGCCAGCATTGCCTCTTATGAAGGGATGGACAGCTACAGCCATGCCTTCTATGGGATACGAACTTAGGCTCTTTGGTATCACAGTCGGCTTGCCTAACCACTATTCCGCATGGACAGCAAAAATTTTATATATAGTGATACCAATTTCAGAACCAGTTTAGAAATGGAATAGAATATATGTATGGACTTTCGAGATGATTCTGGCATAACAATCTGTCATAATTCCTTCTTTTTATGTAGTAATAAAACAGCTCTGTATCCCATTCGTAGGGGGCTGCTGTTTTCAAGAGCTATAATCAGCACAACATGTATACAGCATTTGAAATGAACACTGCTGTATATTCATTCATTATGAGGCTAAATTTAATTAGGAATATAACATTGATTGGTACTGTAATTTAGGACATATTGAAAAGGCAAAATGGATTCTGCTAAGGAAAGCATCCGAATGAAAAGAAGTACAGGAAAGCTTGATTGAGAAGTTCACAACCACCAAAACAGAAGAGAGTGTTTTCTGGGCATAAGTTATGCAAAGGTCAGTGGAACATGTGCTGCAGGTCTGCACTTTCAGGGGGAATTCCTAATCATGCTATAACCATTTAAAACTAAACATAAGATAATATACAAAGCCTCAATGCATAAGCTCGCAAAGTGGTCTCTCAGTACTCTACTCTGAACTTATATGCGAACTAAACTGAGAATTGATGCTCCCTTTTGTCTTGTATAGTACTTCCGTGACTACCGAGAAATTTCCAGTAATTTCAATTCGAAATTGCTGGAAGGCATATAAAGTTAGCTACATACAGCTTCATACAGTTACAGTTACTCAGAGATCGGACCAGTTACAGTGACACATGGATCGGACAAAAATGTCACCAAATAGTCGCAAAGTTTGATTACTTTTGGGGATTTCTCACCAAAAACCATCACTAGCTTGGCGTAGTCGAGATAGCCATTCACCCAAAGCTAAATGGACCTTTCTTGTTACATTATACAAGAGGTAATGCAATTTATTTATAATTTCACTAAAATTATTTACATATACACTCTTTTGCAAAAAATCAAAGCACCAAGAAGGACTTATGCGATTTTGACGAAATTTGGTATGCAAAAACATCTTGATCCAACATGCAAATAATCAAAGTTTCAAGGCAAATGAACAGGAATTGTGATCATAGCCCGCATTTCTAGTGTGCAATTGCAAAGTATAAAAAGTAACAGGGATGTAATGTTTATCTTTTTTTGTTGCTGAAATTGTAATTCTGTAAAGAATCAACTAAAGATGCCATTAAGACAACATCAAGGACTTCACAGACAACTAAACGACTTTGGACATGGTCGCATTGTAGGGTTGCATGAAGCTGGGTAGTGATACTAAGCAATAGGCCGCCACCTGCAGCATACAGACACCGCCGTGCAAAGATGTTGGCAGCAATGGTTGCTACAAGGAAATTGCTGACAAAATGAAGGCTCTGGAAGGCCAAGGGACACAAATGCGAGACAAGATATGATGATTGTTCGCCAGGCCTGAACCGCCTCAACATTATCATTGTCGACTATTCAACACACTACAGCTACGTCTATACCTCCTGTGGTACCATTCATCATTTCACTGAGCTCGTCTAAGGTAGGGTTACGCTCACAGAGGCCTTTAAGATGTTTGCCTTTGACCCCACAACATCGACGGAGTCGTCTGGAGTGGTGTCGCAGCCAATCAACACGGCTGCCATTGGACTGCCATTGTATAGTGTTCAGCGCTGAATCCTGCTTCACTCTTGAAGGAGATGAACACCGTGTTCGTGTCTGGAAAGGACAGGGCCAGCGGTCCCTACAAAGGCTGATTGTTTTACAAAGGCGTACAGCCATAACCCCTGATGTGTGGTGTGGGGCGCTATTTCTTGTGACAGCAGGTCATCTTTAGTCATCCTCTGTACATCTTTAACTGCTCAATGCCATCCTGCCCAGCCGGTTGCATTACCCTTCATGGCACCTCATCCTAGGGCCATTTTCCAACAAGATAATGCCAGGCCACATACCACTCGCATATCTCTGGACTGTCTCCGTGATGTTGATACTCTTCCTTGGCCAGCAAGGTCACCAGACCTTTCACTAATCAAGCATATCTGGGACATGGTAAGCCACCAGATTCAGGCACCACAAAATATCGCAAATCTGGAGTGACAACTGATGAATGCCTGGCAGAATGTGTCACAGGATGACATTAGGAACCTCTACCACTCCTTCCGTCGACAAATTCAAGCATGCATTGCGGCTGGGGTGGTTCGACCAACTACTAATTTGAACACTTAATGGGTGATTGTGAGCCATGAACAGGTACTATGACCTTGATCTTTTAATCATTTTATTATCTGTGTATGAGCTATACACATATTCAGTTTCATCAAAAACAACCACTTCCTTCATGGTGCTTCTATTTTTTTTTTTTTGCAAAAAAAGTGTATACAAAATTCAAAAGGTTGTTACCAATCCAAGGACTGCATGTCTCGGGCAATGCAATTCCTGAACAAGAAGAGATATTTACAATTAAAAACTATCAATAACTGAACACTAAAATTATAATTTCAATAACTAAAATACAACAAATCAAATACCAAATCAATAAATAAATGCACGAATTTAGAAATTTATGTACACATAGGACCATGGTCTTGGTATACTATTTTCATCATATAAACAATATTAACAATTTTGTTTGATTGTTGCTTACTGAACTGTCTCAAATTTTGCGGTGCTTCAAAGCGCTTTTTTAGATCCTTGACATCTGCCGTTGGCAGGACTTTGTCTTTCTGTATCTCAGGATCCTGGAGGCCATTGATGAAACACTGTAGGGACAGGATTTCTTGTGTTTCTGTTGGGCAGTCCGAAAAGGTGAGATGAGACAGCCTTTTGACATACATGCCGAGTTCCTGGAATGTTCCTGTGGGTGTCTTTTGCGAGTGGTAACTGAAGCCTAATATAGTCTTTTAAACACTTCTTGCCAAAGCGACAGATAGAGCTTTGTCTGTAATTTAGACTCTGGTTTTCGGGCAGAGTTTGAAGGATATCCGCTGCATCTTCTCTTAGAAAAGCGGCAAGATAGTAGGCCTTAGCTTGGAAATCTTAACCATTTACATCCGCCACTACAGAAAACCGAGTCTTGTACACTTGCTAAGACGTCTTTCCATCATACGTGGTTAGCTTTAGAGTGGGATGAGAAGACATAGGAATTTAAAGACGTCAGAATTATGTCCAGCTGTTGCTATGGATTTCATCAAGCTGTCAACTCCCTTGGTGACAGCAACAGAAACTCTGTCATTGAACACGTCTAACTTTCTTGGTATTCTGCAGACAAAAGCAACCTTTATACTCTTAAAGATGAGTCAACACAAACGCCACCAAAAGGGGTGCCCTTAACGAGTTTTTTGTTATCACTTTCACCTGGCCATACTGGAGTTCGTTTCCAAGAGAACAGGAAGTTAAGAACACACCAATGTTGTGTTGTTAAAAATTCTTCCCTCCCAGTGTTGGGGGGCGACTCTCGTAGAAGTCCAGCATATCTTTGCTTAATTACCACTTTTAAAGACACATAAAGTCAGCCAAAAAATGAATATGAAACACAAACATTTACACTATACTGGATTAAGTACCAAGGATTGAGGTCACTGTAAAAAGCAGGTAATACAATTACTAAGGGCTAAACTTAATTATACACATATTGTACACAATCTTATAGTTTTCTTCTGTAAACAAGTGTTATATTATATACATTTTTAAAACCTTATTTTTATTTATACATTTTTCCAGGCTGAAAAAGATAGGCCTGTAGATATTTATTTATCAGTTTCTGTAAATCTCTCTACGGAGACCCCGAA